TACAATGTATTTTATAGATCTATAAAATGTTGCTTTATCAGAAGGGCGGTGTATTTAAACAACAGTCGTACAGATGTACATCAGTGGAACTAACAAGTGTAGTTGTAGTAATGGAATAAAGGCGGAAGTTGCTATTATTAAAGGGAGATTTTTTTTAACACATTATGCTTAAGTATTTTTATATTTTCATAGAAATTTTTATATAAAAAAGTTATAAAATTCTTACACAATAATTTATCTGCAAATAATCTAAAGACATGATTAAAATTAAAAATTTTTAAGTTAGTAACAGTAGCCACGAATACTTAGTTGAGTAGCAGAGGGTTTGGTTATTATACATATAAATGAGAATGACAAATCACAATCCTTTAGAGAAAATGACAAATTTCGTTTGTTTTCAAAGTTCTAGTTCATTGTCATGTTAAAGTGATAGATATCTCCTTATACAAAGTGTTAGAACTACTAGGTCTATTTCAATGTCCTTACACTCTAGAGCATTATGAGCTCATATTTTTTTAAGAAGATAATTACTCTTTCTGCCGGAAGATCCGGCGTCATTTCTAGAGGATCCTAATTGATTGTTTCCTCTGGAATAGAGGTTGGTTATTGATTTATCCAGGACGGTCGAAGAAAATTCTTTAAATGTGCCAATTTCCACAACTATTCCTTAGAAACTGATTTATAAACTATATTCGTGATTAATCTAATGGGATTGAGGCCAGTTTTTATTTCAGTGCTTAAAAAGTCCCGATTTGTATGAAGCAAAAAGCAATTCTGTACGAATATTCGAAGGCCATTTATCCCATTTTACAGAATAATGGCCGAAGAGTGACCATTGCATCAATTCTGGAACATAATGAAGAATGTGCTCTGATGATGTTGAGGAACAAGAAGTTTAGATCACTTTGTATTCGTTTCGATCAGAGCAAGTTGGGATAGTTTAGGAGGATGTATCCTACATCAAGTTCGAAAAAAATGCATCTAGGAGACTATCGGGCCTGTTGTGTGCTCCTTTTCAATGTTTGTATGCAAAAACGCAAAGAAACCCTTAAATAGTGTTCTATGAAGGTATTAGTATCCGAAGTTCAATAAATTTCCCGCAATTCCTAAGAATTTTCCAATAATATCGCACCCAAGATATTTGCATCTAATTTTAACGAAAGCTTGGCAATGAAAAGGAAAGTGATCTATAGTTTCACTGTAGTCTCCCCATCTTACAAACTATCTAGGTCTTTTCTATGAATTGCAAACTATCTAGGGATCTTCTGAGAAATTTCATTGGCAAAAATGTCCAAATAGTTGAGAAAGTCAAGAACTCTCGGCTGCCGACGATGATCAACCAATTGATCTGAAACCACATGCCAAATTTTGTATAGTTGTATCCATCGTCGGTGGTTGTACCCACCGTTGCATTATTTCAAGTAAAAAGGCCACATCGTGGAATTATCTTAAGATAATTTTCAATTCACAACCTCAGATAAGTTAAGAACGCTCGATTGTCGAAGAATTACAAACTATCTAGGGATCTTCTGAGAAATTTCATTGGCTAAAGAAGTTCAAGGAAGTCAAACTTCTTGTTTTCTTATGAGATCAAAATAGTGTTGAAAATAACCCTCAATCAATTGAACATGTTGCTTTCAAAGAAGATCAACAAAGTATTAAAGAATCACAAATCAACTAAGAATGCTCCGAGAAATTTTACACAAGTTTAAAAAGTAGGGAATGCACAAAAAGATAATGAACCAAACTTAAGAATAAATTGAATTATATCAGCATAATGAGCTAATTTTCGCTTCAATAACGCAATAAAGTCAAGAACTCTCGGCTGGCGACAATTCTCAACCAAGTAAACTTGTTGCTTCTTAGAAGATCAACAAAATATGCGAGAAACTCCAGTTTCTGTAAAGTCCAAACGGTTAAAGAAGCACAAAGTGTTAGAGAATATCAAGATAATGAGACAATTGTCGAAGCATTTTAAAAAGCACTCGAAATGCTATAGAAGAAGTTGAAGAATGTCAGCGTAATCAGTTAAGTGTGTCACTTTACATAAAGGTCAACAAAGTGTTCAAGAATCACAAACTATCTACAGAAACTATTTACAGAAGTCCAAACAGTTGAGGATGCATTTAGTGTTAAAGAATCTCATATCTGTTTAAACTGGACTCAAAACACTAAAGAAGTTGAAGAATTGCCACATAATGTGTTAATTGTTGCTTCACAAAGGCTACTAAGTCCAGAACTCTCGGCTGCCGACGATCAGCAACCTATTAAACTTGTTACATTCTTAGAAGATCAATAAAGTGTTGAAAAATCGTCTAAAGATCTTACGAGAAACTTCAGTGGCTGAAAAAGTCCAAAGAGTTAAAGAAGCACAAAGTGTTGAAGAATCTTACGATAATGATACAATTCAGAATGCTAAAGAAGTTGCAGAAGAATCTCAACATAATGAAGAACCCCCGGCTTTTCGAACGATCCTCAACCAATTGAACTTGTTACTTTCATAAAAGATCAACAAACTATTGAAGTATCCCAAACCTTCCAAGGATCTTCCAAAAATAAATTTTAATATCAAATATGTCCACACAGTTGAGTAAAGAAGCACAAAGTGTTGAAGAATCTCAAGATAATGAGGCAGTTCAGAATTCTAAAGAAGTTGTCGAAGAATCTCAACATAATGAAGAACCCTCGGCTTTTATCGATCCTCAAACAATTGAATATGTTACTTTCATAGAAGATAAACAAGGTACAGAAGTATCCCAAACCTTCCAAGGTTCTTCCAAAGAGAAATTTCGATATCGAATATCTCCACATAGTTGAGAAAGTGCTTCGTGTTGAGTAATCTTATATTAATATGCCAATTGTCATAGTAATTTCAACAAGAATCAAAACTCTAAAGAATAAGTTGAAGAAACTCAACATAATGAGCTAATTGCTGACGATATTCAAGCAATTGAACTTGTTGCCATCTTAGAAGATCGAAAAAGTATTAAGCAATCCTTAGTCTTCTAAAGATCGTCCGAAAAACTACAGTTGCTGAAAAAGTTCAAACTGTTAAAGAAGTTGTGTTGAAGAATTTGAAGATAAGGGATCTATTGTTACAACAGTTTAAACAATCCTTAATCTTCTAAAGATCTTCGGGGAAACTCCAGTTGCTGAAAAAGTTCAAACCGTTAAAGAAGTAGTGTTGAAGAATCTGAAGATAATGGATCTATTATCACAACAGTTTAAACAATCCTTAATCTTCTAAAGATCTTTCGAGAAACTTCAGTTGCTGAAAAAGTTCAAACTGTTAAACAAGTAGTGTTGAAGAATCTCAAGATAAGGGATCTATTGTCAAAACAGTTTGAAAAAGACTCAAAAAGCTAAAGAAGAATTTGAAGTGTGTCAATAAAATGAGCTAATTGTTACTTCACCAACTCAAAAAAGGGAAAAACTTTCGACTCGAAAGTTTCGAGTTGTTGATAATCCCACAAGTGTTAAAGAATTCTAAATCTTCATTCATAAATGTTAGGTTTTTGATATGTTGGTTTTCAAAACTGTCGCCTTTAGGTCTTTCAAATTTAAAGTTTCTACTCTTACAGTATTCATAACAAGTCCATGGAAAAATGTAAATTTTAATAGCTATATCCCCAAAGTACACATACGTGGGTTTAGCACTTTTCAAAATCTAAAGAAATATAAAAGATATAACCAAAATACCAAACAATTCATCTATTTTTTTATGATTAATGTCTTCAAAACTAATAAAAAACGGGGTTTTTATATGAAATTTCTTTGAAGTTTAAAACTTTTCACTTTAATACCAAAAAACTAAAATCAAATATATTATGCAAGAAAATTTAAAATTACTATAAAAACTAAATGATTTTTTTTTTGTTTTATTAAAGAAAATATATGCTCAACTCGTTTTACTTATAAAAATAAAACAAAAAAAACTATTAATCATATAAACACCCAAAAAAAAATTAAAATACTTTCAAATTATTTAACAATTTCTTTAATTATTAAAACCAAAAAAAAAATCGTCCAAAAGAAAGAAAGGTCTCATTAAAATGCAACAAATAAACAGAAAATTATTATTTTTTTTTATTTATTTATTTATTATTTACAAAATAATATGTGATAATATGTTTTCTTAAACGTAAAAATTTTAAAATTTTTATTACCCCACTGAATAACCAAAAATGTATATGGTTAGTTAGTTTTTAAAGGAAAAAATGTACACGGCGCAGGTGCAACAAAGTGGCGCATAATTCGTGCACAAACAGTCAATCACAAACTGCTGTATGTTTAGCATGATGGCACATGTCTTGGGTTATTGGTATTAACAAAAAATTATTAAATAAATTATTTAAAACAAACAAAAACAATCAATAATCGTCTTATACAACCAAAAATTATTGAAAAAAATAACAGAAATTGTTTTTGTTAATTTGCTTAAGTTTTTAACAAATTGTACGAGTACAACAACAAAATGCCGCGTAATAATTAAAATTTTATTAAACAAACAAAACGATTTGAGGAAAAAAATTTCACTTTACACCTCTTCAAGGAAAACTAGAACAGAAGTGAAATTTTTAACAAAATATTCGTAAAGTTGTGTTTTGTGGTGGTGTTAGTGGTAGTAGTGGGCGCTGTGTTTGTACAGCTGTAGTTGTGTTCGTATAGAGTATTGGTCTCGCCTCTGTTGTGGGTTTTAGGCGAATGTCTGTATTAGTTTGCTAATCGTAAGACACCAAAGTCACGTGCACTTGCATTTACAAAAACTGTTAGTTAAAAGTACGAATAGTTCAAAACGTCGATTATTAGATGGATAGAAATTCTTTGGGGTTTAATTTGAAATTCAATTCATGTTATGTTTCAAATGAGACAAGCAATTACAATTCAATTTTAATATGATTGCAATGGCAATCAAATTCATCATCTTGACTAGAACTAGATTCCTTTTTCGAATTTCCCTACTAAATTTCCACCTTCTAACTTTATCAAATTTCAGCGCAATATGCCCATTGTGCAGCAAAGAGATGATGCTGCTGTGTCTGTGGCTGAAGCCGAACCAGCCGCCAATGTAGATCCCACTGAAATGATGATCATGTCTACATTAACTTTGCCAAGTAATGCCACATCCATTAGAGCTGATATAACTGATGGATTTTCATGTGAAAATAAGACTTATGGTTATTATGCTGATGTGGATAATGATTGTCAAATCTTCCATGTATGCTTGCCAGTTACTTATGCCGATGGTAAGGAGAATACCTTCCGTTGGAGTTTCATTTGTCCCGAAGAAACTATTTTCAGTCAGGTAAAATATTCCCTAATTAACTGTACCAAAAACAATTTATACTTTCTATTTTCACTACTTTCCACAACCATAGGATTCATTTACTTGCATGCGTCCCGATGATATGGCTATTACTTGTGAAGAATCCTATCAATATTACGAATTGAATCGTAACTTTGGTATGGTAGAATCTGAGAAGGAAACCACTAATGAAGCTGTCAATGAGAACGCTGAGAGCAATGAAACTATTGTGGAAGCTGAGGTAGAACCTGAAGCCTCTAAACCTATGGTACAAGAAGAACCCATTGGTCAATTTAAGCCCGTGAAAGTACAAAAACCTTTGCGTAGAAAACCCTCTGTATCGTATGCTACACAAAAGAAACCCGTCACTAGCTATCCTTTGCGTAAAATGCCTCAAGCTCAACCACAAATGCCTGAAACTCCTGCTGTCGAAGCCCCTGAGGAAGTCAATGAAGCTGTCCAACCTGTAGCCGAAGAAGAAATCAAGCCTTTAGTGCAAAAATTCTCTAGCAGACGTCCTGTTCCTGTAATGTCCAATACTTTCAAAGATAAAATCCAAAGCACTAAAACTGAAAGCGTAATTGGTACCAGAACTGAATTGTTTAATCAAAAGAGAAAACGTCCCACTATGTTCAACAAGAAACCCGTGGAAGAGGAACAACAACAACAAGAAGAAGAGGTAAAAATTGAAACTGAAGCCGAACAACAGAACTTTTCTAACATGGAATCTGAAGTGTCAAACGCCAATACTGAAACTCAAGTGGCCGATAGTGAAATCGAAGCCTCAGAAACCAATAATGTCTTTGTAAAACCAATAGAAGTCAATGAAATGGAAGCTGTTGCAGAACCAGAGAAGATCGCAGAACCTGTACAAGTTTTAGAGGCTTTCGAAGAAATTCCTGCTGTTATCTCTGAAGTTGTAGAGACACCCACTGCTGAAGAAGAAGAAGAGAGCAAGAATGAAGTTGTTATGCCAGCTGTAAGTGTGGAAGAAGCTGAATATCCCGAAAAATCAGAAGTTGTGGAAGAAGCACAAAATGCTGAAGAAACTCAAACCGCTGAAGAAGAAGTCCAAACTGCCGAAGAAATGCAAACACCTGAAGAAGAATCCCAAACTGCCGTAGAAACACAAGCTGCCGAGGAAACTCAAACTGTTGAGGAAACTCAAACCGCTGATGAAACTGCTCAAGAAACTCAAGTTGCCGAGGAAATACCTGAAGTTCAACAAACTCTAAGAACATCTGCTGAAGTAACTCAAAATAGCGAAGAATCTCAAGTTGCTGAAGAAACCCCAGTTGTAGAAGAAACCCAAGTTGCTGAAGAAGCTGCCGCTGTCGAAGAAACTCAAGCTTCCGAAGAAACACAAGCTGCTGAAGAACCTCAAGCTGTTGAAGAAACTCAAGCCGTTGAAGAAACTCAAGCTGCTGAAGAAGCCCAAGTTGCTGAAGAACCTCAAGCTGTTGAAGAACCCCAAGTCGTTGAAGAAGTTCAAGCTGTCGAAGAATCCCAACCTGCTGAAGAAACCCAGAACGTTGATGAAGTACAAACTGTCGCCGAAGCTCAACCAGCTGAGGAAACCCAATCTGCTGAAGAAACTCAAGCTAATGAGGAAACTCAAGTTGCTGAGGAAGCCCATAGTGCTGAAGAACCTCAAGCCGCTGAAGAAACCCAAACTGCTGAAGAAACTCAAGCCGCTGAAGAAACCCAAACTGCTGATGAAACTCAACCCGCTGAGGAAACTCAAGCTTCTGAAGAAGTCCAACCAGCTGAAGAAACTCAAGCTGCAGAAGAAGTCCAAACCGCCGAAGAAACTCAAGCTGCTGAAGAAACCCAAACCGCTGAAGAAACTCAAGCTGCTGAGGAAACCCAAACTGCCGAAGAGGAAACCCCAGAAGTAAACCAAAGTCTGAGAACCTCAGCTGAAGAAAACCAAAACTCTGAAGAAACTCAAGTTGCCGAAGAAGTTCCAGTAGTTGAAGAAGTTCAAGTTGCTGATGAAGTACCAGCACCTGAAGAAGTTCAAGCTGTTGAAGAATCTCAAGTAGCCGAAGAAGCTCAATCTGCTGAAGAAACCCAAAAAGTCGAAGAAATTCCAATAGCTGAAGAAGAAGTCCAAACTGTTGAAGAAACTCATAATGCTGAAGAAACCCAAAGCGTAGAACAATCTCAAGATAATGAACCAATTGTCGCTGAACAAACTCAAGAAGCTGAAGAACCCGCTGCTGTCGAAGAAACTTTAGCTGTTGAAGAACCTCAACCAGCCGAGGTTGTTGCCCCCATGGAAGATCAACAAAGTGTTGAAGAAACTGAAGCCGTAGAAGAAGCTAAGCCTGTTGAAGAAGAAATAAATGTAGTCCCTGAACTCCTTGCCTCAGAGGAAACTGTTGTGGTAAAATCTGAAAATGTAGCTGAACCCGCTATTTACGAAGAAAACTCTGAAGAAGGCGCCAATGTAGCACCCGTTCAAACAATTGAAGAAATGGAGTCAGAAAAACCCGCTGAAGCTCCCGAGTCTATGCCAGCTACTGAAGAAATGAATCATCCCGATGCTATGGTCCAACAAATGTACGAAGATATGGATGCCAACAAACAATCCATTGGTGGTTTCAAACCTGTCGATCCCGTTATGGCTCATGAAGCTGAACAATTGATTGTCGATTTCATCAACACTTTGAGAAAGAATGACTTCACCAATGAAACACCCGGCATGCATATGGAACATCAAGTTGATGAAGTAGCCGAACAAGAGCAATCTCAAGAAAACGCTGCTGAAGTACAAGAAGTTGAAAAGGTAGAAAGCAATGAAGTAAACCAAGAAGAAGCCGAAAAGGTTGTAGAGGAAGAGAAGACCCTTGAAGCCGAAGAGGAAACTCAACCTGAAATTATGGAACCTCTTGCTGATTCTGTAGAAAATAATGCCGAAGAAATGCAAGATACTAATGAAGTTGAGGAACTTAAACAGGAAAACGAAGTAGTGGCCGAAGAAAATAGTGAAACCAATGAATTCAATGGTTTAAAATCTTTGGAAACCCAAAGTGCTGAAAATATGGAAGAGTCACAAAAATCCGAAGAAGCTGCTGTTGAAACCATGAATATGCAACATATTCCCGTTGAAGTTATCAACACTCCTTTAGAAGAAGTTCCTATGCACAAACCTTTAACTTATGAAAGTGATGTTGAACCCATGGAATTGACTTCAAGTACTGAAGAGAAAGTAGCAGAAGAAGCTCCCGCTATGGTTATGGGTGGTTACAAACCTTTAAGCATTGACGATATTGTAGAATTGGTTAAGGAACGTTTAGATCATATGCCCAAAAATGAAATGGAAACTCCCATGCAATTGGAACAAGTCATCGGTGGTAACCAAGAAGATAAAGCCGCTGAAGAGAAAGTAGAAGAGGAACAAAAGCCTGCTCAAGAGGAAGAAGAACCACAACAACAAACTAGCCAATCTGAAGAGGAAATTGTTATGCCTATTTACCAACGTTTCATTCAACCCGCTAAAGTAGATGCTGGAGTCCAAACTGAAGATCTTGAACAGACTGTTAACAGTGAACAAACCGATGTAGCCGATGCTGATGTTCAAGAAAAATCAAGTCGTTACTATAGATCTCGCAGTATGTTAACTCCAAAATTAGACCCCCGTAAACGTCGTTTCCTTTTCAAAGCTGACTCCAGCTAAATCTTCTGTTACTTCAACAATCTCTCTAGTACATTGAGAGATTGTGTTTTCGTATCTGAGCCATTTAACCCGCCCAAAATCTTATTATTTTAGATTTTTTTTACATATTCTTCTTACTCTGCGTTTCGTGACTCTCTATCCTCTTTATCAAGTCTACTCTGTCTTACTCTCTCGCTCTATCTCTATTTAACATTTTCCGCTTTATTTAATTGCATGTGTTTTTATTTACCTTTATCTATAACTTTATAAATTATAATTATTTTCTTAAAAATTTAAAACAAAAAAAAATAAAAAGATAAACATCCTGCGTACAAGGATGTGGTTTCTTGTAATGTAGAATTTAATTTAGATTTTTATACGGCTGTTTTATACGAACTTTATAGAATGGCTTAATTATTTCGAATTTTTGTTTTGTTATTTGTTTTGCGAAATAAAAAATAAAAATGAAATTGTAATTTGTATGTCGATTTTATTTAAATAAAAATTTTAAATTAAAACAAAAAAAATCAAAGTGTATTTTGTGTTATATATAAATAAATTTATAAACATTAATCGTGCTTAAGTATGAATGTGTGTAATCGAATAATTAACATTCATATTAAGGACGATTAATGTAAATAAATTAAATCTTCAATGGGAGTAAGTTTAAAGTCAAATTTATTTGTTATTGCGTTTGAAACTTTAAGGATTTCAGAGCAAAGTTTCATACAAAAACTCCTTTCAACCATCTTTAATTAAATTGTTCGAAATTTAATTAAAGATTTTAATTTAAACCTTTCGATTTTTATGAAATTTTTATAAAATTCCTTAAATATGTTAATTTATTAATACTTTTATGCAAAAATATTTTACGGAACCGGAACTATTATAAGGGACTGAGTTGCTATTGATAATAGAAATAATTTGTAAGAAATCATACGTCATACAAAACGGTGTTGCCAGTTGTAAGTTAATTGGCTGTGTCATGTTAGCACAGACACTTTAGAGCAGACATAATAAAAATGAGTACTGCCAGATAATAACTATGAATGTTAACGGAAGTCTTTTTAAAAATGTAGAAGTAATTTTTAATAAATTTTTATGTTTAAGAGTCTTCTTACATCTCCCATTTATACTACACCGAAATCTAGTAGATTTGATTTGAAATCTGGATCGTTTACACTTAATATTAGGAAGATTTAATTTTTTCTAATATTGATATAAGAAAATGGAAGACCTGACAATAGTACAGTCCAGATTATAGTAGTGACTAAAGTTCAGACTATAGTAGTAACTAAAGTCCAGACTATAGTAGTGTCTCGTGACCAGACTATAGCAGTGACTATTGTGCAAACTATAGTCCAGCATATAGTGGAGACAATAGTCCAGCATGTAGTAGAGACTATACTACAGCATATAGTAGAGACTATAGTACTTATTGTAGTCCAGACTATGGTAGAGACTACAGTCCAGAATATAGTAGTGACTATAGTCCAGTCTATAGTAGTGACTATTGTTCAGACTATAGTATATACTATAGTACTGACTATCGTCCAGAAAGTAGTAGTGACTATAGTCCAAACTATAGTAGAGACTATCGTCCAGATTATAGTAGCGACTAAAATCCAGGTTATAGTAAAATTTATAGTCCAGACTATAGTAGAAACTATAGTTCAGACTATAGTAGAAACTATAGTCCAGACTATAGTGACTATAGTCCGGACTAGGGACTATTGTCCGGACTAGAGACTATTGTCCAGACTATAGTAGTGACTACCGCTCAGTCTATAGTAGTGACTATAGTCCGGACTAGTGACTATTGTCCAGACTATAGTAGAAACTATAGTCCAGACTATAGTAGTAACTATTGACTAGAATATAGTAGTGAATGTCCAGTCTGTAATAGCGACTATTGTTTAGACTATAGTAGTGACTATTGTCCAAACTATAGTAGTGACTACCGCTCAGTCTCTAGTAGTTACTATAGTCCGGACTAGTGACTATTGTCCAGACTATAGTAGAAACTATAGTCCAGAATATAGTAGTAACTATTGACTATAGTAGACTATAGACTATAGTAGAAAATATTGTTCAGACTATAGAGACTATAGTCCGGACTAGTGATTATTGTTCAGACTATAGTACTGACTATATTCCGGACTAGTGACTATTGTCCAGAATATGGTAGAGACTATCGTAGAAACTATAGTCCAGACTATAGTAAAGACTATAAAAATTCATCTATTTGAATATAAAAATATGACGCATCAACTATAGTAGGCGTGGCATATTTAGGGAACTATAACAGCTATAGAATCCAAAATATCGTGGAGATAAACCAAAAAGTTTACTCTTATGATTCTAGGTTCAATAATTCAGAAAATTTAAAAATTACCATTTGAATGATGAGAAAGTACTAGAAACTATCTCTCTCAATATATATTATAAAAAATTCGAAAAATACCAGTTGAACAACAAAAAGTACCAGTAAATACACTCTTATAGCTTTTCATTCCATCAGAATGTACATACATACATATGTAAGCCTGATCATATGTTACTAGGTTCAATATAGTAGAGAAACCAAAAAGTACCAGTTGAAGAACGAAAAATATGTTTCCAGTTTCAATATTATAGAAAATTCAAGAAGTACCCTTTGAAAAACTAAAATGTACCAAAAAGTCCCCTTTTATAGGTTCTCATTCACTCCAGGTTCTACATATGACTTAATTTTATGTTTCTATATTCAATATTATAGAAAATTCACAAAGTACCTTTTGAAGAACGAAAAAGTACCAAAAAGTCTCATTTTATATGTTCTCCTTTACTCCGGGATATATGTACTTCTGTAAACCTGATTATATGTTTCTAGGTTCAATATTGCAGAAAAATCAAAAAGTACCAATTGAACGTACCAGTTGAAGAACGAACAAGTAAGAGTGCTATATTCGGCTGAGCCCTTCACCATAGTGTATTTAAAAATTCATTATTATAGCAATAGCAAAACATAATGAACAACAAAAAATACACAAGGCAGTAAAACCAACAGACATCCAAACATACGAAAAGAAATACAGAAAAAAACAAAAAAAAAAAAAAATACACAACACAATGAAACCAACAGACATCCAAACATACGAAATTCAATACACCTAGAAAACAAAAACAATATACACAAGGCAATGAAACACACAGCCATCCAAACATACGAAATTGAATGTACCAAGCAAGAAACAAAAACAATATACACAAGGCAATGAAACACACAGCCATCCAAATATACGAAACGAAATACTCAAGAAAACAAAAACAAAATACAAAGGCAGTGTTGTTATTGTTTATTTTTTATGAAATTTTCAGAGGTTGTCTCGGATTTTTGCTTATATCTCTGTTGTTTATGAACGGATTTTGCTGATTTTAAATAGGAAACTTCTCGAAAGCATGTCTGATAGAAGTATTGAAGATTTGGATCCCGAAGATATCTGGGGTCTTCAGAAAACTGATTTCAACAGACAGACAGACGGACATGGCTTAATCGACTCCGCTATCTATAAGGATTCAGAATATATATACTTTATGGGGTCGGAAAATTATATTTTGGAAATTACAAACGGAATGACAAACTTATATATACCTTTCTCACGAAGGTGAAGGATATAAAAAGTACCATAAATACTTTCCTAAAGATTTTCATTCACTCTGGACTCTAAATGTTTAATTTTATGTTTCTAGTTTCAATGTTATAGAAAATTCAAAAAGTACCTTTTATGTAGTACCTCCGGGCTCTACATTCGTAATTTTATGTTTCTAGGTTTAATATTATTGAAAATATTTTTTTAATTTTTAATTTTTTCCTTATTTTTTCACAATTTTCCATCTCTGATATTAGCATTAACAATAACAACACACGAATTTATAAGTAACTTGTTGATATTGCTTCGTTTTGTTTTTATAAACAAGCAAACTAAGTACAAGAACAATGATTACTATATGAATGTGTATGTTCTTAGGCATGTCTAAGCATGCACAAACAATTTTGACTCCATTAACCTAAGCTTGGTTCTAGGGTATAATATGGAGTCAGTTATGCGACTATACACTCTTATTTGTTTTATATTTTTCCATGAAGGTATAGATTTGGCCCTTAAATTTTCTAAAATATTTAAGTAATACAATTTTTTACTCACCAAACCACAGTTGATTATTTACTGGACAATCACAATTATAGCTTTTCTTCCATTTGCCTTTTTTCAATTTCACTTAAAACAACTAAATTTTTTTTAATAAACAATTTAATATTAACTAATTTAAAAAACAGGCCATATTAGCAGATTTTAATTTTATTTTTTTCTTATTTTTATAATTTTAATAAACAAACCAATTAAAAGATTTTTATTTAATTTTTTCTTAAGCAAACTTAATTTTTATTATTTACATATCTGCTTCTCACAATATTTACCAACAAACACTAACAAAAAGCACTTATTTCTTTTTCAACACCATCAAAAACAATAACAAAAAACCCGAGCTCCATTTTTGCAACAACAACAATTACAATGAATGCAAATAAAAGCAACATGTGAAAATTATTTGGCAAGCCACCGGCTGCTGACCGAATGTTTTCGCGTATATTTTTACTATTTCTTTAACAATTTTCTTCAAACAAATTGCAAAAAATTATTAAAAACTTATTAAATAACACTTTTATCAACTTTTTATTGCACTTTAAACGCTATTTTTTAGAATTTTTATTAATTTATTACCACACCACTACTAAACGATCTGATTGCAAAAGCCGGCATTTAACAACTAAAAAGGAAATGTCAAACAAGTGCAAGCATCCAAGAGAATTAGTGATGCCATATTGTCATTTTACTTCTTAAAGTATATGCAGAAGGTTTTAGCTTAAGCTATAAACTACTACTAAATTATTGAATACAACCACCTATTGGCAATATTACACCATAAAAAAATGTGGTAGCACTTCTTCTATATTTACATTTCATTAAAATTACAATTGTTTGGCATTTATTTCAAGTGTTTAAAATAGAATTTAATAATCTGTTTATAATAATATTTTTTAATTAATTTCAAGAAAATTTATAAATAATTATTGGTCAACATTTTTGCAAATATTTAACTGACCAAGTAATATACCTATGTTGCTAACGGTTGTTGTATTTGCTTAATTATTATTAATAACCCCTTATATTCGCTTTACTAAATAATATTCAAATCTGGCATCACTAATCTCTTCACTTGCACTTGTTTGACATTTCCTGTTTAGTTATTAAAAGTCGGCTTTTGCAATCAGTTCGTTTAGTGTAGTGTCGTGTTAATTTACTAACAAATTATAAAAATTAGTGTTCAAAGTGTTATAAAAAGTTGATAAAAGTGTAATTTAATAAGTTTTTAATAATATTTTGCAATTTGTTTGAAGAAAATTGTTAAAGAAATAGTGAAAATATACGAGAAA